TTCCCCAAGCCAGAGCTTTGGATATGAATCCCCTGTCTCCTTTACTTGCTGCAAGCAAATAAAACTACCTGATGATACCCATGTCTCATTTCTGAATAGAGTGCTGCAAGTGGTAAACCGCTTGAGTTCAGTAACAAATTTGGTGACACCAGATGGGACTCTTAGAACTCCCTCTCAGCCTGGTGGGGACACTTGGAGAAGCAGTCGGCAGTGGCAGTGACGGTTCCTGCCGGGATTACTCACCTGTATCTCCACCGGCTGACGGGGGTCTGTCCTACGGGAGACTCCCGTGCGGCGCTCAGCCAGGGAACCTCGACAGCGAGGCGGAGCGGCCGCCTGAGCCCCTTTTGTGCGGCGTCAGCAGGGAGGAGGGCAGTCACTTCAGTTAGTGTTTCTATTCCCGTTTTGGGTGAAGAGTTGTCAGAAAGGTGCTTTCAGTTCTGGTGCGAGCTCGGTTTCTGGTCGGTCAGGCAGGAGCTGTGTCGGGGATGCCGGGTTGGGCCTGACCTGAGAGTGGAGGGGCGCCTGCAGGGGGACCCGAGACATGCTCGGTGACAGCCTCTGGTCTGGTGGTCTGGATGTCTGTCCTGCAGGAGCTGGATTTTGTCCTTTGAGTGGACATTTGCATTTGCCTTGTCTTATGTGTAAATGTGCTGGCTATGGGAAAGTTAAATTTGATAACTGATTGCAGCCTCCGGGGTGCATTCATTCTTTGAAATTGGATAAAAAGAGCTCTGTTTATTTGACTTAAAGGAATTAAGCTTTTGCCCTGGCTGGCGTGGCTCAGTGGATTGAGCGCTGGCCTGCAGACCAAAGGGTTGCCAGTTCGATTCCTGGTCGGGGTACATGCCTGGGTTGCAAGCCAGGTCCCCAGTAGGGGGTGTGAGAGAGGCAGTGGGTCAACGTTTCTCTCACACATTGATGTCTCCCTCTCTCTCTTCCTTACCCTCTCTCTAAATAAATACAATCTTAAAAAAAAGAAAGAAATTAAGTTCTTACATAAATGAAGAAATATGACAAATGGGTCAGTGGTAGGAAACTGCCTGTCTTGTCAAGGCAGCCTTGCTCCAGGCGGGGGCCTGCTGTGCACTTGGGAGGCACTGTTTCCTAAGTGCGGTTTCTTGGCTTCCTTGGGCATCAGCCTTTACTGCCCAACACAAGCCTCTCCCCTGCACCCCCCGCCCTGCGTCCCCACAAGGAGGGCCCTGTCTGGAGCCGCCGCGCCAGGGTGGAACCGTGATGGGCAACGGGAATGGCGACCCCGCAGTCCCTTGAACAGAGGGAGACACCTTCCCCGAGGAGCCTCCTGCTTTCCGGAGGAGGTGATCTGGGACAAGCAGGATGGAGCAGCAAATGTTTGACTGGGGGACTGGAGGGCCAGTCAGTGATTTTGGTGTAAAGATATACGCTGGGGTTCCATGGGAAAGACTACTAGTTTTATCTATGAGCTGCCTGAGTAAGACTCCCACAAAGGAAAATGATATGTTGCATCTCTTCAAAGAGTCTCATTGGTATAATGAGGTGGTCTATTAGCCGGTGCGATTCCAGAAGCTTTTCAAAGGTGTGCTACAGAGGCCAGATATCCTGGGAGTATTGAAAACTACATAAAACTAAGATTACTTGATTGGATTGGTGCTGGAAAAAAGAGAAATGTCTCCTATGATTTAAAAATGTAGTTTGAGTCCATTCTACTGGGCTTGTAAAATGAAGCAGGTAGAATGAACCACATGCGTGTTTTCTGAGTAACTAGCCACATGGTGTGGGACGAAGGGAAAAATGACACAGGGAAATGAATCGGTTTCAGTAAGATTTTAGAGCAATCTTGAGAAGTAATTAACTGGTGCCTTGACAATTCATCTGCAATGACAAGGTCACTGACTCTGGGCAGGGCCATCCCGTGGGTCAGAGCCCAGTCAAGTCCAGAAGACCCCTGAGACCACTGTCCCGTCTGAACAGCAGCCCACCAGCTAGCTCCTCCTCTGCCCTCCAAAGCTGGGGGTGGCCGAGTGGGGCAGGCGCAGGTGACAGAGCTCGCTCTCTGCATCCACAGGCAGGACAAGGCGCTTCTAAGCTGCGTCCCTCCTTGGGGAGTGGCTCCCACTCCCGGTGGTGGTGGGAGCCGCTGACTGGCAGAGGAACGGCAGGCAGGCCGGCCCGCTGGGGAAGCCCAGGTGGGGCAGCCGTGGGGCTGTAGGGCCAGAGCACCGCTCTGCTGGGCGGGAGCTGGGACGGAGACAGCCGCAGGGAGGCCACAGCACCCAGAGCCTTCCTGGGAGCAGACTGGGTCTGCACGGTGGCAGGAGGGCCAGGCTGCGAACCCAGGCAGCCCGGGCCTGTCCTCAGCCTCTCTCAGGCCCATGCACGTGTGGGACGTGGGGCCAGCTTCAGGGCGCCCGTGTCTCCAGGAGTCCCGGGCTGGAGGGCGGGAGGAGCCGGGACCTGGGGCTGCAGCAGGCGGTGAGCGCTGTGCTGAGCGACTGTGCGGCGTCTGCAGCTGGAGAGGAGCGGGGCGGGGCCCGCTGCAGGCCGACTGTCCTTGCTTCTCTGTCTCACGACAGCCTGTGCCGCACCTATTTCAGGCCTGAGCTCCTACTGTTTCCAAAGTGGGGACAAGGGGTGACGGAGCCAGAGTCTGTGAGAGGTGGGAACTGTGGGCTGTAAACAGCTCAGGTGACCTGCTCTTCTCAGCCTCGTCCAGGCGCCTGCTGGGCAGGGGGTTTGGGGACAAAGAGGTTGCGAGTGAGTGGCGCCTTCTCCCTGCACCCTGGTTTTCAGGGGGGTTGCTGGCCTCTGAGCTGCAGTGGGTGGCCAGCTGACTAGCGGGTGGTGTCCCACAGGATGTCTGATCACCGAGGACCCCGTGCCGTGAGGGCCGGAACCACGTGGCTCACTCGTGTGGCCTGATCCTCCTCCTGTGCGTCTGTGCATGCGTGCGTGCGTGCGTGCACACCCACAGCGCTGTGCTCCCCGGGAGTGGCTCCTGCCCTCCCGGGGGCCTTTCTGTGGTGCGCTGTCCCAGGAGAGCGGTGCAGGCGGCCACGTCAGGACTTCCTCCCCAGGCCCCGGTGCCTTACGGGGGAAGCTCTTTACTCGGCCACATGGCAATGAGCATCGGTGTGCCTGAGAGCCCGCGGGACACCCTCTGGATGTCATGAAGGCCTCCACGCCTGGTATCACCGCCCCCCCTGCCCCGGTCACCGCTTCACCCACTGGGCTCGCCCCTCTACAGAGTCACTCCCTGCCCGGATCCCACCCGTCCTTCGAGTCCTGGACAGACCTAGCTGCTCCAAAGGTGGCTCCCGAATAAAAACCATGGCTCGCGTCCTGAATGTTATGGGAAGAGGTTCAAATATGACAGCACCTCCCCTTCGCTCCCTTGCTGGCACCTTTGTCTCCAGGGAGGCTGTCACTCTGGTCCCTCTTGCTCATTGGGTCGCCACCAGGCGTCAGCTTGAGTGGCAGGGTCTCCGTCTCCTTGATTGTTCCTGCTTCTGCCTCACGCCTTATGGCGCATGTCTCCTGTTAGAGGAGAGCTCTCTCTGAGCACGCCTGTGCTCAGGAGCCCCAGAACCTAGCGGACCCCAAGACTGTCATAAGCCAGGCAGCCAGAGACTTTCACTGCTCCAACTCGAAGACCGACTCCGCCCTTGTTCAGCAGGAATGAGTTACAGAGGCATGGCCCTCAGCCCTGTTCCTGCAAGAACGTGGAGTGAAGAATCTCAGCGGGTATTGTTAGGACAAAGGTCCCAAGGTCGGGTCATTCTTACTAAATGCTATTTTTGCTGACTGTTAAAATGTAACATAGCATTTCACAAGCCAGTTGTAACAGGATGAGCTTGACAGGAACTCAAAGGATAAATGTAGCCAACTGCAAAGAAGAAAGCAACACATAATTGACCAAATAGTGTATACAAGCAAAGGCAAGCCTTCCTTCCCAGAGACAGAGCTTTGGCTGTGACTCTGTGTCTCCTTTACTTGCTGCAAGTAAATAAAACTACCTTGCGACAGGGACAACCATGTCTCCTTTTCGCATAGAGCACCCAAGTGGTAGTCCCCCAGAGCCTGGCAACATTGCCAGTGCTAAAGATGGAGGGAGTGGCTGGTGGGGCACGCGATTTGGGTGGCCCTGAGTGGGTGAAGGGAGAGGTAATAAATATTAGATGTGTGATACAGACCACGGTGAGTGCTGACACACCTGGAGCAGTGCCTTGGCAGAAGCTGGGACCTCCTGGGCGGCCAGAGAGCAACTGTTTTTTGCGCAGGGACCTGCCAGAACCGGGGGGTGGGCGGGGGGGGAGGAGGGGCATTCGCCTTGCTCAGTGAGTGCCCGCACTCGGAACCCTCAGACCCTCTTCCCTTGACGGCTGGGTGACAGGGGTGCCAAGTACTACCCCTCCTTGGGTCTGCTTCTCAGCTTCACACCTAGGAGCCGTGGCTTGGATTTATGGATTCTTGCGGTTCCTCCCAAGTTTAATAAACTTTTCTGAGACAAGGGTCTCAAAATCCACAAAGTGAGCATCCACCTGCCTCGACTCGGGAGCTGCTTGGCCCAGCTGGGTACTGCTCAGAACTGCTGTTCAGAACCTAGGGACGGGAACCCTCGCTTGGGCTCCCAGCGTCAATCTGAGCTCCCAGCGTTGGCGCCTTAAGTCCGATTAACAGAGACCCTCGACCCACGCCCAGCAGGCTCCTCCCTCCGCCCTCCTCGCGGTAGCGCCACAGCGACATCTCGTGGCCGAGGTCTATCTATCACTTGGCTTCCCAAGGGCCTGCCTGAATCGGAGGCGCCTTCGGGGACAGGCGGGCTAAACTCTACAGCCCGGGCCCACACACCCGCCCCCTCGCCTTGCAAAGACTGTCCCGGCATTCCCGTAAAGAGGAGGAGCCACTGGCTGCGCCTGCGCACCGCAGCCCACGGACCTACGCCTTCTCAAGGTCCAGCTTCCAAGAAACGTGTCCTGCGTGCCACGCCGTCTGTTTCCAGGGCAACTAGGGCGCCTCCTAGCAAATGCGCGCGCAACCTGGGTAGTTTTCCCCGCGCGCCCCCTACCATGGCTGCCGCGGGTCCCAGTGTCTTTCTACTCATGGTCAACGGGCAGGTGGAGAGCGCCCAGGTGAGCAACCATGGTACCCTCCAGGGACCCCCCTACAGTTCCCCGGGGGGCCGTCCCGCAACTTCACGGGCTGCTTTGTGGCCCCAAAGAGGCCGTTATTCCTCAGGTGAGGGAGGGGAAACCAGCATTTGAGAAGCTTGGCGTGAGTTTGATAGAAATCCTTAACCCTGATGTGCGGGTGTGGAAATAGTTCGAGGGACTGACCTAGTATCGCGGTCGCACTCGGCCAAGTTGTGGCCCCCGGCTCGGATCGTGCACACTTTACAGAGGAGCCGGATCTCCCGCTGATGGAGGCGGAGGCGGAGGCGTCTGCGCCGCGTCGCGTGCACAGTGAGTGCCCCGCATTCTTAACTCTCAGATCCTGAACTTGGGTTAGAATGTAGATGTTTTGGTTAATCTTATCCAGCGATGGTGATGACCTGGAATGATACAGGGAGCATGTGTGAGACTCGAGGGGACGCCACTCTCCCTACACCCCTACACTTTATAAGAACCATTTGTGTATTTACACATATGTAACATTTTTTTAAAGCTTCAGCAAGTATTTACTGTGTGCCAAACGCAGTGCCCAGCACTGCTCGTTCTGTCTTCACAGCAACCCTGTGAAGTAGGTATTGCGAGCGCCCCCCCCCCCCCCCCCGCCCGGTTTACAGATGGGAAAGCTTGCCCAAAGGAAGCGGCAAAACTGGAATTTGAAGCCAGGTCTTCCTTACGCCAGAGCGTTGCTGCACTGCCCTTTCAGGACGCACGGGGGGGCGCTGCTAGCCTGGGTCCTATGTGTCTGCAGTCTGAGCGCCCCCCTCCCCCACTCCGCCTGCCCCTCTGCCCTGGGCCCCGTCCACTCTTCGGGCCTCCAGCTGCAGCCGGGCACTAGGGCTGGGTCCTGACAGCACCCTGGGTTCTCAGACCTTTCAGCTCCCCACCATTTCCTTAGGTCTCCTCTGTGTCTGTGCCTGTGTCAGCGCCGGGGACACCGACAGGCATCATACCTGTCCCTTGCACACAGTCTAACAGGGTTAACAAGAATAAACACAGGCAAATGCTTTGATGAGGGGAAGCACCAGGGGCTGAAGGGGCCAGGAGAGAACCCGTAAGACAGCCTGGAAGTTAGGGCAGCCTCCCTGGAGGGTGAGTCTTAAAAGATGGGCAGGAGTTTGCCAGATGAAGGAATGGGGAGGGCATGTCAGGCAGAAGGTAGAGCCTGTGCAAAGGCCCGGGGCCGGCGGCAGCCCGGACCGCCCCTTGGGCTCCCACGTCTGGAGCCCCGGTGCTGAGCTCCATGCTCAGACCCGTGGCTGCCACTCAGCGCCCAGCCCGTGTGTCTCGTGTTCAGAGTTACTGTTGGCTGCCCCTGCCTGGCCAGCATGCTGGCCCGAGCACGAGTTCCTGTGACACGGAACCTGCATGTGCTTGTTTCCACAGTTCCCTGAGTACGACGACCTCTACTGCAAGTACTGCTTCGTGTACGGTCACGACTGGGTCCCCACGGCGGTAAGCTGCACTCCTGGGCCCGTTGCGGCCTCCGCGACTTGGAATTGCTGAGGGTGTGACACACCCCTTCCCCGCCCAGTTCAGGACCATTTGAAAAGTAGACACCGAGTTCAGGGAGGACCCAAAGTGAGTTTGTTCTTGGTGGAGCTGGAGTGGAGAACGCAAACACCACTGGGCTCACTGCTCCGTCCGCCAAGGCTGTGCACGCTCACCTACGCCACCGGGGGAGCTTGCACGTGGCGGCAAACAAAATGCGAGGGCAGTGCAGACAGCGGAGGCCAGCCCGGGAGCGCCGGCCTCCCTCAGCCTGGGGGAGCTCTCCGGAGCTCTCCTTCCAAGACTTCCCGAGGAGCCGGTCCTCTCCGCCGGCGCAGCGTCAGCCAGGGCCGCGCTGGACTGTTGGCAGAGCTCTCATTTAATCCTCACAGGAGATGAGGATGTGGAGGCCCGAGGCCCAGCTTATTTAACCTCCTGTTTCCTCATCTGTACAGCTGAGATGACAGTGCTTATTTTCCATCTACCCATTGACAGAATAACTGCTTATTAGGAGTCTTCCGGGTGCTGGTGATACAGTGGTGAGCGAAGCCAGACAGAAGTCCCTGTCTCCGGGTGCACATTCTGGCTGAGAGTCACACAATAAGTAGTAAACATTCTCCTGTTAGCCAGGAGCGAGCGCTGAGAAGGGGAAGTGAGGAAAGGGAGAGGTGACGGATGAGAGAGTATGGAATCCAGATATGGGGGTCAGGGAGGGCCTCCCTGGGAAGGTGACTTGAGTAGAGACATGAAGGAAGCGAGGGAATGATCCACATGGAATCTGTGGCGAGAGTGTGCCAGGTGGAAGGAACAGAGTGTGAGGCCCTGACGCGGGAGTGAGCCTGGCGCGTGTGAGGAGCCACGGGGTGGTCCGTGTGCCGGGGGACAGGGCGAGCAAGGAGCGTGGTTGGAGGTGAAGCAGGAAGGTCACTGGCAGACCTTAAGGGCCTTGTCCTTTACGTGGGCGGGGTGGGACTCCCTCAGAGAGTTTTGAACAGAGAGAAAGGAATTCTGACTTGTGTTTTCAGAGGATCCCTGTGGCTTCTTTGTTCAGAGTAGACTGTTGGGGAGCAAGGTCCAGAGCAGGGAGACCGTTGATTATAAACAGGTGGGAGAAGATGGCATTGCGGACACGGGGATGCAGTGGGGAGGGCGTTGGATTTCAAGTGTATTTGGAGATGGAGCCGACAGGTGCTCCTGCTGGGCTTGCAGGTGTGGCGAGTGAGGTTGACGCGCACGTTTTAGTGCGTTTTAGCCTGAGCACCCGAAAGCGGAGTTGCTTTTGAGCGGGCAGATTTGGGAGAGCCGGGCAGGGGCGCCGGGGAGGGCGCCAGGCTGGGGAGGGTGAGTTTAGGGATCGTAAACACACAGACCACACTGAAAGCCTGGAGACTGATGAGATCCCCAGTGCAGACAGAGAAGCATCCAAAGACTGAGCCTCAAGACGCTTCTGCTTGGAGGAGGGCGTGCAAGCTGCGGAGCAGGGGCCACTGGGGGAGGAAAGACCCAAAGGCGTGAGGCGCCCCAGAAACCAGGCGGAGGAAGGGCGTCAGGAAGGACTGGCTGTATCAGATGCTGCCGCTGGGCCAAATAAAATGAGAAGAGAAGTAACCATAGATGCCAGGGTCACTGGTATCATTTACGAAGATGCTTTGGTAGCGTGGAGGCCAGTAGTGAGACTAGAGAGGGTTCAAAAAGAACAACAAGGGAACTGGAGCCAGTGAGTCCTGCCCTGAAGGGGGCGAGCAGGGTCAGCGGGGGAGGACGAGGCAGAGTCACGAGAGTTGTTCTGTGACAGAGAAAACGACACGCACGTGCGTGCTGGGGGGAGGGGTCTGGGTAGGGCTGGTGCCGTAGGAGAGGCACCACCTGCCGTAGCCGTTCCTCCAGGAATGAGCTCCCGGACCCAGGCTGAGGTGAAATGCCATTTAAAGACCTAGGAACTGCCCCTGCTCCTGTGTTTTGGCAGAAGGTAGTGAAAGAAAACAGCCCTCCCAGCTGGCTGCCCAGGAACGGGGAGTGTGGCACTGCCTGGAGCTCAGACACCAGCTGTGTCATTGTCCCCACAGGGTCTGGAGGAGGGCATCTCCCAGATCACATCTAAGAGCCAAGGTGTGCGGCCCGCGCTGGTGTGGAACTTCCCCATTGACGTCACCTTTAAAAGCACCAACCCCTTTGGCTGTGAGTCTGAGGGGCCCCACGGGGGTCGGGGGGAGGCACCCTGGGGCGGCCGCAGCTGCCGCCCGCCCGCCCGCCCCCCTCAGGTCTTGGTCGCCCTCCGCTGGGCCTGTGCCACGGCCTGTGCTGTGCTCTCGCCGCCTGCTCATTGACCTCCACGCCGCCCTCCTGCCGCCGCAGTTCACCGCCACGCTGTGCAGTGGCAGTTGGGAAGCTCCGACTGAATCGGGGGAGGCCCCACCTGAAGGCTTGGATGGCCCTGTGCCTCGGAAGGGCAGAGCCTGCTGCCCAGAGCTGCAGCGACCTGGACAGCTGACCCCGAGGCCTCTGCTCTCCTGTGTTGTGCCCCAGCAAAACCCGAGCCCCCGGCCCAGGGTGCCTTCCCACATCCCACCTCTGACCTTCCCTAAGCCTTCCTTGCTTGCAGTTGTTTACCTTCTACCTTGCCTGGTAGTTATTTTTCACTTTCACTTAAGCACCTACTATGTGCAAAGCCTGGGGTTAGCTCCACGGGCTGTGCATGCTTTCCCTGCATGGGCTTGTCCAAGCTCCCTGATCCTCTCCGGTGGGTAGATGACTCCATTTCTTTCCCTGTGTTAGGAAGCACTCAGAGACGTCACTTACCTTCAGCTCTATACCTAGTGGCTGAGCATGGATTGGATTTCAGGATCATCTGATGTCGCGGTCCAGGCCTTTCTGCTGCACGTGACCAGGCCCAGGCTCACCGGGTGCAGAGGGTCTGGAGCAGGGGCTGTCTGATGGTTCTCCTGGGCAGGGACTACTGTTCTGCTGTCGCTCTGTGGGAGTGAGACACTGCCCTAGGCTTCCTGGAACAGCGCACTGGATGATGACCAACTTCCTCTTGCTGAGGACGGCTAAGAGAGGCAAATAACACGTTGAAAGGCAAAAATCCAAAAACCAACCAACCACTTGAAGGCATCAGAGCGCTAGAAAGGAGTGACTTACCAGGCCGGCCTCTAGGGGAAAGCCAACCCAACAGGCGACTGAGGGGGGAGCGAGACATCTGAGGGCCCCCCTGGGCGCAGGGCACAGGGCCTGGTGCTCAGATTTCAGAGAGCTGTGCCCCAGGAGAGGCAGGACGCGGATGGAGTAGACTGCCCCACAGAGGCTGCTGCCCTGCTTCTGACCGTTCCAGACCCTGGGCAGGGTTGCAAAACTCCCAGACAAAATATCTGCCAACTCAGTGTAGGAGGATGCAAAAGACGATAATGAGCAAGTAGTGTTTATTTTAGAACCACAAAGCCTGGGTAACATCTGAAATAAACCAGTGTGGTTTACCACGTTACAAAGAAATCACGATCATGTCCATAAATGAAGAAAATGTGATAAAACTCAACATCCATTCATGATACACATTTAGCAAACTAGGCCTAGAGGAGAACTTCCTTAATTCGATGAAGGTCAGCTACAAAAAACCTAGCAAATAATCACTTTCTTTTAGTAAACTGTCGAGAGATACCCCTCAGAGATTGGGGTGCTTGTCACCAACATTGTACAAATAAAAGGTGTGAGAATTAGAAAGGACAAGACTCAGTCACAGGTGATGTGATTAGAATTCCCAAAATAAGCTACAAATAAGCTATGAGAATTAATACATTGGCATGAATACCATTGATAAGATTAACATACAAGAGTCAGATGCTTTTTGCAATTAGAATATATAGAATATTCTGTATAGAAAATATTTTAAAAATCCCAACAATGTCCAAACATAAATAACTTGTTCTACCAGATACCAAGCTTTAATTATAAAGCACAATAACTGTCATTTTGGCACCAGGGTAGACAAACTGGCCCGTAAAGCACCCCAGACCTGTGCCGGTGTCGTTGATTTGTGACAAAGGGGCACTGCTGAGCAGCAGTAGAGAGAGGGGTTTTTGTTGTTGTTTTTTTTTTTTTTAATTTTGTGTGTACTTGAGAGTTTTTTTAATATATGGAGCTGGAACAATCGGATGCACATAGGGAAAAATGAAACCTGACCCATACCTCACATTACACATCCACAGAAGTCAATGCCCGATGTATGTGCATGTAAGGCAAGTGTGAGAAGCACAGTTAGCCCCAGGAAGAGGGCCTGGGGCAGGAGAGGCGTGGGGTCAGGGGAGGGAGAACTATAAAGAAGAACGTCCACAGGTGTGACTGTTAGAGTTAAGGCCTTCTGTTCATTGAAAAGCATTGAGTGAAAAGACAAGCGACAGAAAGAAGGAGCAAGAGACTTGAGCAGGCACTTGAAGTGACCGAGAAACGACAAGGTCTCTGTTTTTAGTGAGAACAATTACAATCAAGAAAAATGGAAATTAAAGCTAAAGGGCGCTCCCCTGTTCACCCCCCAGAACCACTCAGATGGTGCAGAGCAGAGCAGGCTCCGTTGAGGATGCAGCAGAGGGGCTCGGCGGTAGTGTCGGTGCAGGGTGTGCATTTTCCTTTAAGGCCGAACATACGCAAACCCTGGTGCTTCCCTTGGATACGTGCCCAACAGAAATGTGTGCACACGTGTGAGCAGAGCTTGTAGCAAAGGAACAGAGCGTCACTGGCCTTGGCATCTGTGAGGACCCCGGGGAACAGCCCAGGTGTGCGTCGGCGCAGGACGGCTGAGCCCTGCGGTCTGCAGGGAGGATGGATGCGATCCAGCACTGAGAACAAGCCCAGCTCTGTGTGCAGAACAACTTGAAGGAGTCTCACAAATGTGCGGGATTAAAGAAGTTGGATACAAAAATACATGTACTGTATGAGCCCAGAAAAGAGGATAAAGCCCAAGCACCCACTCATTTGGGGTGCATTATTAGGCAGTGAGACTTTCAGTGGTTCCCTAAAATTCACAACAGGGGTCACCTCGGAGGGAGCGACAGGAAGGGCGCAGCCCTTTGCTGACCCCTATTGAGTGCTTACTCCCTATTCCAAGTGCCCTAGAGAGGAGGAGGCACGGGCAGGAGCATGGGTCGCCAGGGGCTAGTGGCTGCAGGAGCCGGAGACTGGCAGGCTGCCCGGAGCCTCACTGCCCCGCCTGTCGCCTGGGGCAGGGATCTCTCCCCTGCATCCAGGGGCCGCATACAGATGGAGGTGAAAGGACCTGAGGTGCCGTGATGGGAACAGGTGTAATCGTCAATAGTTTGAAGGAAGGTGCATGGAAGGCCTTTGCTTTCTCTCTGATCTCTCCCACAAGTACCCCACAACCAGCCCCTTTGGCCTGTGAGCCGGGTGTCGTGCTGAAATCGGACTGCACCCATCAGAAAGGAAGCCCCCGAGAGCAGGCCCTTGGCACAGCTCACGGCCAGTCCCGTGCCTTGAATAGGGCTTCTGGAGACCCTTCTGTGTTTGACTGACGGAACTGGGGCAGCATCCTGGCTCTGTGACCGGTGGGCACCCGGGCCGGGGGCCTGGCCAGCAGGCTCTGGTTCCCCCCCACCCTCCACCACCTCCGTGGGTCCTGGGTTGGCAGAAGCCCTTGGTGCAGAAGGGATCTGGTGTCTGCCTGGCTCTGGCAGGCCCCTGCCCGGAGGGCTCGGAGCACCCCTGTGCCCTGCACCCTCGTGGGGTCCCCCCACCGACACCTGCCGCCTCCTTCCCCAGGGCCGCAGATCGTGCTCAGCGTGTACGGGCCGGACGTGTTCGGGAACGACGTGGTCCGAGGCTACGGGGCAGTGCATGTGCCTTTCTCCCCTGGCAGGTAGGTCCTCCCTCTGGCCGCTCTCTGGGCCAGGGCCTGCCCCTCACTGGGCCCTGCAGGCTCAGGGACCTGGGCATCTTCGGCAGGGCTCTTTCTGGGACAGATTTCGCCTCCAGGCCAGGAATATGCTGGGTGCCCCAGGAACCTGGGCAGCTCGGCTCGGGCGGTAAGGGCACAGCCCGTATGTGAAGGAGACCCACGTGGGGGAGGTTCCTGCTGCCACCCAAACACCAGGGGCCGTGATGGGGTGCCCGAGGACCCAGCAGGGAGTGCCGGGCCGTCCTGAGAGTCCCAGGCAGTTAGGGCCTGGAGTCCAGACACGCCTGCCTTCCTCTCTTCCCTCCATGTCCTGCAAGCCCTCACCAGTGTCCCTCTGTGCCCCGCCCTGCCAGTGTCAGAGGACACAGGTGTGCCAGACAAGGCGTGACCATGGGGCCCTGCCCTCAGAAGCGCCCCGAGGAGCAGGCATAGGGGCAGAGGCCCAGCTTTTCCAAGCATCGCCGACGAGGGATAGGCACAGTGCCCGGGGCGCAGAGGAGGGCTGAGGCCGGCCCGACAGGGCGGGCGTCCCCTCGGGAAGGCGGAGGGGGGAAGAGAAGCAGCTGCGGACTGTGTGCCCCGAGTGTCGCTGTTAGAAGAGAAGGTGCAGGATGCGCGGGAGGGCAGGTCTTGGATGCGAGGGACCGGACCCCAGGCTCTGAGGAGGAGCCTGGACTGGGCAGGTGGCCTCGGTGGGGACAGGTCCAGGGGCCTGCCGGGCCTCCCGGGGGACAGGCGTCCAGACTGGGCTTTGACCGTGGCGGAGCGTTCGGGCTCCTGGGGGAGGGTGGCTCTCTGCGGGCACAGCGGGGTCCGGGACCTCAGGTTTGAGGTTTGCGGCCCTTGGCGCCCTTCTGGCCCCTGAGAAGAGGCCAGACTTCATGAGAACGAGCCCTGCGAGGCCGGGCCCGGTCGGGGGCGGCTGGTCAGCCTGGCACCTGGGCTGCGCGCGCTGGGGGTCTCCTTGCCTTTCCGTCACCCAGCACATCTGTCTGCAAAAACATTTGTTTCAGGCACAAAAGGACCATCCCCATGTTTGTCCCAGAATCTACATCTACGCTGCAGAAGTTCACAAGGTGCGGCTTCTACCTGCGCCCCCAACCCCGCCTCCTGACCTAGGTAGTCCGAGTGGAGAGAAGGAGGTCACAGTCACCCTCGCTTGTGCCAGGGACCTATCAGGTCTTCAAGCTGCTGCTCCCCTGGGGGACAAATGGAAGTGAGCTCTGGGGAGTTACTGAGGGTCTCTGGCCTCCCCCCAGGCACTGTCCCAGCAGCACAAGGCTGTGCGATTGTGCTCTGGGCCGTGTTAAAAGTCTGTGTGTCAGGATGGAAGGAAAATGCTTGTTAGAGCGGAACAAGCTCAGGACGTCACATGACATTAGGGTGGTAGGACACAGGAGGATGCGGCAGTAAGAGCCAGACAGCCTGGGAGGGCAGCAGGGGCCACAGCGGGGACTCCGTCCGGCAGGCGCCCAGCGCTGTCACCCCGGAGCCTCCGGGAGGGTGACCTGAGCAGAGACCAAGCTGAGGTGAGGGGCCAGCGGGGGAGACCAGGAAGGACACCTCTGGCATGGGAACGGCCCATGCGAGGTCCTCAGGAGAGCGGGAACTTTGCTGTTTGGAGGGCTGGGGGGTGGGTGTGGTTCCGATGTGGTGAGCAAGGGGTGGCGGGGGCAGGGAGCCGGAGCCTCAGGCCTCCCGCCCCTCGCCACGTGCAGGGAGCAGTGGGAGGGCTGGCTGGGCCCTGGCTGGCTGACCAGAGGTTGGGGACAGAAGCCTCCATCGGCTCAGCCACAAGCCATGGCTGCCCCTGCCCCAGGTCAGCCAGGAACGGGCGGCGGGGTGTGGGTTCCGGTATCTGGGAGAGACCTGGGGGGGGCAGTATTGGGCCTGAACCCAGGAAGCCTTGCCTGGTTCCCAGGCCTGGGTGGGGGCGGCTTGGGTGCCCCCCGCCCCCAGAAGCTCCTCTGGGAGGCCACCCTGATGGGAAGGGGCTCATCAGCCAGCCAGAGTCAGCTGGAGGTGACAGCTCCCGTCCCACGGGGCTGCTGGGGAGGCAGGGGCAGTACCTGTCCACAGGTGTGGGGGTCAGGCCTCTGGGAGTCCCCTCGGGCACCCTGGCAGGTGCCGACGCTGCCATAGCCCCAGCTCCGAGGGAAGGCCTCGGGCTTCCCCTGAGGAACGGGCTCTCGCTGAGGAAGTCAGACCTCCCGGCAGCCGGCTGTCCCGCTGGTGCCGGTGCCTCGGGGCAGTGCTCACCGGGCAAGGCCCCCGTGTGCCTGGGTCACAGACGCTGCAGCGCAGGGGTCTGGTGAGTGAAGGCAGTTTGGTGACAAGGTCTTCCTGGGCAAGGGCCCCCGAGGCCACTGGGTGGCTCACTCCAGCAGCCCCTTTGCTCAGGAGCGGCCCTGGGGTCGGCCCGGTGCCTCCCTTCCCCCGTCTCAGGCGCTCTCCGGCCCCCCCTTCTGTGTTGTCCCGCTGCCTCCCCAGGGTCCCCTCCTCAGCCTGGCTGGCCTACCCACTGGCACCCTCCTCTGCCCACGGTCAGCTTCCCGTGGCCGCCGTAACCGACGACCACACGCTTGATGGCTTAGAATGACCAAGCGGTTTTCTCCCTGTCCTGAAAGCCGAAGCGCCAAGTCAGCACGCGTGGGCTCTGACCAGGTGTGGCAGGCCCCCCCAACTCCCGGGGGCCCCCGCCTCTGGCGGTCCCGGCCTTCCCTGGCTTGTGGCCGCATCGTGCCCTCTCTGCCCCTGTGGTCCCATGGCACCTGTCTCTGCCACGGACATTTCCGGGGGTATTTAAGGCCCATCTGGGTGCTCCGGGGTCATCTTCCCTTGGTGAGGTCCTCGCCCTAATCACATGTGCAGAGACCCTTTTTTCCCAAATACGGTCGCATTCACAGGTTCCAGGAACTGGGACCTGGCATCTTTGGGGCTGTTCTTCAGCCTGTGACAGTACCTCTGATCTAGCCTTCACATGGCAACAAAAAAGGTTCCCCTAAAACACAACTTTAGAAACTGCTCAGGCACATCTCTGTGTTTTGGATTAACTTCAGCGAGGAGGCTCCCGGGCCCCTGTGCTCTCTGGACCCCTGACCTCATGCCCTCTCCCTACTCACCTCTCCCTGGCCTCAGTTTCCCCAGCCGGCCCGGCCCTTCCCTGCTTTGAGCTTTTCCTGGAACACTCTCCCCTGAACGGCCTGCCTCTCCCCACGCCCAGCCCGCCAGCGGTGGCTGCGGCCGCTCTGCGCGCCTTGCTAGGGCCGGGCCAGGCTCGCGCCTTCGCCCAGGAGGCCCCCGGGCCGCCTGTGTGGTTCCCAAAGCCCGCAGCTCGGGACAAAGCCCACCTTTGCCTGACCCACCCGCTGCGATTAGCGAGCGCCCCGTGTGTTTCACGGCAGGGAGGCCCCTGGGGTGGACCTGCCATGGCCAGCGGCCTCTGCAGGCTCCTGGAGGGTCAGGGAGTCGGCACCGTCACCCAGCACCCCTTCCTTCCCTGGGGACCGGAGGTGGGGAGGGGGTGTTTGTCAGCACAGAGCAGGCCCACCCTCGGGGTCCCCAAGCAAGGACCCAGGTAGTAAGTGGGTCCTACACTTCTGTGGCTGTTGACAAAGTGCCTTTACCTCAGAGCCCCATGGGGCGGGTCCTGTCATCGCCTCCGTTCGTGTAGAGAACATCGGGGTTCAGAGACGGGAAGTGCCTTGTGCTGGCTCCCATGCTGTTTAGAGCACAGTGGAAAGCCCAGAGGGGCCCCTTTTGCTGGACTCTGGGATGGGGCCTTCTTCGGGGTGGGGGGGGGTCACACTGGCCCCAGGTCTCCCACCCCTCCCCCGCTGCTGTCCCGTTTGGCATTTCCCCCCGGGCTCAGGTGCGCCCCTGCCCTCCAGCTCCCCATCTCAGCTGCCAGGCCCGGCGAACAACAGCCGCGGAACGCTCACTGGCTGTGGCGGAGAAGCTGGCGTCCGGCTGAGGGGGGCGTGAGGGAGCTGCGGGGGCCGCAGGCCTCCCCGACGGACACCACCCGTCCCGTCCAGGGCAGAGGGAGGGTGCTGGGGGCCTCTGCGCAGGGCCTGGCCTGGGGGGTGAGCAGGGGGCTGCTGGTTTCTAACTCAGGGAGAGAGCCCATGTTCAGAGTTGGCCTGCGGGGTCCCCGGGCCGTGGCCACGCTCACCTGGGGTTCTCCTGTCTTCCCAGCTGGTTCATGGGACGGCGGCCCGAGTACACAGACCCCAAGGTGGTGGCTCAGGGCGAAGGCCGGGAAGGTAAAGCGTAACCCCCAACCCCACCCTTCCCCCCGACAGGCAGGTGGGAGCCTGGGAGGGTCTAGGCGAACCCCCTCAAGACTGACGGGGAGGGTGCCGGCCGGCCAGGCTGCCCCAGAGGCCGGGATGTTCCCAGGGCGTTGCCCAGACACAGGCCTGGCCAGAGCTCGGGGTTTGCCCTGTCTGGCTTCCCCTGTGGGGATGTGGACCAGGCCCCGCCCCTGCTGTCCTCCTCCCAGGGGATGCCACCGGGACAGCCGCCCACAGTAGCCTGGCCCTTTCTGCCCCGGCCCTGCTGACGCTCCCTTCTGTCCCCAGTGACCCGTGTCCGCTCCCAGGGCTTTGTCACTCTCTTCTTCAACGTGGTGACCAAGGACTTGAGGAAGCTGGGCTACGACACTGGGCCTGCGGACACGCAGGGTGTCTCAGGGCCCGACCTGCCCCAGGGCCTCGTGCAGTGAAGGCGGAGCGAGGCCGGCCCAGCAGCCCCCGCGAGGCCGGGAGCGACCGCTGGTCCACACACCTGACTCAAGTGCAGTTCGGCGGGGAGGGTGGTATTTTTATAAAATAAATGGTGGTTTTGTCACAGGACCCAGGCCTGGGCTGCCTCCTTTTCCCTTTTAGGACCTGCCTGTGTCTTGCACTGCCCGGGGGCAGGAGCACTTGTCACACCAGTCCTGCTTCCAACCACCAGCCTCCCTTGGCAGGGCCGCGGCAGCAGCAGGGAGAATGTCCTGTTAGCAAGAGGCAGATGGAGAGGCGCCGAGCCAGCGCTAGCCCCCTGCCCACCCCGACTCCGCGGCCCGAGAATGGGGCTGAACACCTGCCCAAATGGAAGCTGCTGGAATTCCAGTTTTCTGCCAAGTCCCACAGCAGGAGAGAAAGGGGAGCCTGGCCGCCCAGGACCCTGAACCCCGAGAGCTGTGTCTTCCCTGCACTCGGGCCCCACAGCACCATCCCACCCTGCCCGAGGCCAGGCCTTCTCACCTCCCCGCACACACCTGGCTGGCAGGGGCAGCATGTCCTCCCGCCGCCCCCCACACAGCTCCGGGTGCACCCTCTGGGGGGGCCCCGCCTGTGCAGGCTGCACACCGCCAGGGTTCCAGGGAAGCCACCAGACGCCGCCTCCGGCTCCTGTCAGCCCGCTCAGCACACTTGTCGCTGGAGTGTTCGCAGTCTGTCTGTAGGTGGTTTTTCTTCTGAGGGAACACATACAATGAGACGCAGAGAGGGGCCCTGCACACCGAATCGGGGCCAGCACGTGCGGCGTAGTGGACCAGTCAGTACCAGCGGTGGGGGGCCCGGGCCTGTAGGGTGAGGGTGAGACCTGTGACCGTCCACACGAAGAACGCCCAAGGCATGTGGTGCCCAAGCCCAGCCCTGGCTGTTCACTGGGCCCTCTGCTGGGACAAGGTGTGCGTCCCCAGCCCATTGCCTTTTTCTCCTGTTTCTGTGGGACGACAGCCCTTCCCGGGCCCTTGTATCTAAGTGGGCTTGTGTGACTAGCTGGCCAAGGAAACAGTATGGAAGGGTGTTCGCCACGTGGAGGTCCGACCTGTGGGGAACCTCCCCGAGCCGCCCACTCCACTCCCGTGGCACCCGAGGCCGTGTTGGGGGCAGCACGCCCCACGGGGCGGCCAGGACACCCCCGCTGGGCACAGCGCCGCAGGCCAGGCTGGGTCCCCGGCAGGGCCCGGCTCCGGGCCTGCTGGTCCCTCTCCTGTGTTGGGATTGGTGAGGGGCGTTGGGGGGGTGGGGGGAAGGACACACAGAGACTGCATCATGGTACAAATGATAAATTATATTTATACAGTAAATAAGTATCAATAGTCAACACAAGTTCAAAACCAGCTACCAGCCCCTGGGACTGAGAAAACGGCAGGGTGACACCCCTACCAGAGCGCCCACCAGGAGAGGGCACGATGGCATGTGCACGGCACGGCGTGGCGGCAGCTGGTGGCTTCGCGGTCAGTGCAGAGGGCAACAGGAACGAGGTGCCCAGGGACCAACCTGTGTGGGGGCAGGGCCTCTGGGCCTTGGCCCCCGGCAGCTGCACTGCAGGAGGGGCTCCTAACAGCACAGAAGAACCCCCGCCCCGGGAGGTGGCCAGGCCGCACCCCCTGGGGAAGCACCCTGCCCAAGCCCACCTGCTCCGCCCACCGCAGGCCGGGGGCTGGAGGGGGCTTGGGAGCCCACAGGAGGCTGCAGGGAGCAACGCCGGAGTGGGGAGCAGGACCCCGGGGGCCTAGCAGGCAGGCCTGAGTCAGCGAGGGGCAGACCCCACTCTTAGAACCAGAGAGGGGTGGGGGGCCCTGTGCCCGCCCAGCGGGACCGCCCAGTGGTCAGCTGCCCTTGCGGGTAGAGTTAAGAAATCGGCAGCGCCATGTGAGGCAAACTGCCCAGACACAGGGTTCGGGGGGGATGTCCCTTCCCTGGGGAGAAGCTAGTCTTTCTGGTCCTTAATTCATGACCTAATACTTTTTTTTATAGCAGTGGGTGGGGTGAAGAAAGGAGGACATGGGGGAGGGGCAATATTAGTGCATGTTTGTTAAGTGTCTGTTCTGTGTGAGAATGAGGCCTCTCCTCCTCTCCAAAATCTGAGATGGTGATTTTAAAGTCTGCAGGGTGAGCCTTGGAGTCGGCGGGTGGGCGGGCTGGGGCCAGCCCTGCTCTCTCCCCCATGTCGCCGTGAAACCTGCAGGGAGCAGGGCACAGAGCTGCCTTCGCCCCCCTCCCCCACGCCGCTGCCCCCACACCGCCCGCCGGGGCCATGAGCCGGTTGCACGCAGAGGTGGCCGGTGGCGCGGGCCCCGGACGCCTCTCCCACTCCAGGCCCAGCGCAGCGGAGGGCCGAGCTGATGGAACTGGTGAGTCACATTCACACGTTAGATTTTTTTTCTTTAACTTTCTTGATGCTGGTGTATCAGTAAGAAAAATAGCCTCTTTCTTAGCATCTAGCCAGAAAGGTTGAAAGTCAATTAGTTCGGTAATTCACCAAAAAAGGGAATTAAAGGAAAAGGCAACTGGAGGCTAGAGTTTTTTGTTGTTGTTGTAGTTTTTTTAAATAAACATTATCTTTTAAGTGTAATCAAATTCTCATATTTTTTCCTATAAAGAATTTACTTTAGTTTTTCCATAAGGCATTTTTGTCTCTTCCTATTTAAATTTTCTTACAGAGTTAAAACCATAAATAAGAGAATTTAAACTACTAACATGACATGTGCCAATATCTTCATTCAGCCAGACCTGGTAAATTCTATCAAAACTAGACAGTTAAATAAGAACCACGTTATAAAAATATTAGCCAAAAAAAGACTATTAGATAATTCTGCAAACTCAAATATGAAACTGTACTAAACAAAATATGTGCAAACGTATACAAGCATAGAGCCACGTGGCAGGGTTATGCTCAGATTAGTTTAAAGCTTGCTCTAGTGGGTTTAATTCAAGAGTCGTTCCACGGTGGTGGCGTTCACTTCGAACTCACACACGAGTCAGAGGAAAATAAGCACAACCACTTCCCCCAATGGTCGGCAACTAACGGAGCCGGCACTTGGTTCCCACCACGCCTGGGACTGCCTGGGGTGCCGGCAGGGCGGGGGTCAAGGGCAAAGATGAGGTGGCCATCCCAAGTCCTGGGCCAGCAGTGTCCCCGATACCTTCTGGCTGAGGCTAAAGGCAAGGGCGACACTGGGGACCCTTGCCTCCTTGTCCCCAGGCCGGGGAGCCGGCGGGAGAGCCCCACGGGAGCCAGGACCCTGCAGCTGGAGGAGGTGCTGAGGGTGGCCGGGCTGGGTCGGGGCGCTTTCCTGCGACGCGGGCTGCAGGCTGGGGAGGGGCAAGCAGGCCACCAGGTGCGGGGCACGGGCCGGGCCTGCCCTCTCAGCGAGCCCTCCCCGCTCCAGCCTGATGGCCGGGCGTGAAGACCACCTTTCCATCAGGAAGCTGCACCTGGAAAGCCCCAGCCCCACCCCCACCTCTGGGACGCCACTCCACCAAGGCCAGTCCCTGCCCAGTGGCCTCGGGCCCAGGCGCTCGGGCACCCGCTCCGCGGCGGGCCCCAAGCCTGGGCCCTAGAGAAGGAAAGGGTTGGTGGTACCAGGAGCCTGAGCTGCTGACGGCGGGATGCCCACGCTACCCAGCGTGCTCATGGCGGCGGGGCCCAGCGGCGTCACGGAGGCACTGCTGGGCCCTAGAGCTGGGTGTGAGGCTGTGGAGGTCAGGGACACCATGGCCAGGGGCTCCACACCTGGGCCAGGCGCGAAAGACGTGCCGGTCCCCAGTACTGGGCTCCCCCGCAGCTGGTTCAGCGTCAGCGGCTGGGGCTGGTTCACCTGGAAGGGGTTGACGGGGCCTGATGCCGCAGCTGCACCTGAGGAGGGAGCAGAGGGATGGCGGACAGTCAGGACATCCACTCTCAAGTCCAAGGGCAGCTGTGTCCAGGCCCCTGCTGTGCACACAGCCCGAGGCCGCACCAGCGGACACACGGCAGACAGTCTGCTTGCTAAAGGCCTCCCCACTGTCCGGACGAGATGAAGCCTGGGACTTGGAGAAGCCAGGTGACTTGTCCAAGGTCACAAAGCCCACATGAGGCAGGGCCAGGAATGTGCCAGCTCATGGGGCCCCAGCCCTCCACAGCGCTGGTGCCCAGGGCCCGCAGCAGCTGACAGCTGGCACTGCCCCCTTGTTCCCCTGGCAGAGCTGCAACAAGGTGCCTGGGAGGGGGAAGAGCAGCACTCAGCCTGACAGCAGCAGCCCCACGCTGTGCCCTGAACCCCAAAGGCTGTGAGAAGCCCTGCCGCCATAGAGCAGGGGCGGCTCTGTCTTAGCCAGTATTTCAGGAATTTATCACACGCCAGGAAGCCTCTTCCCTCTTTTAGCAAAAACGTCCACTGATCCTGTGCCCAGGAACACGGGGACGGCTGCGCTGAGTCCCCGGTGCAACCCAGCTCCCGCCCCCAGGGCTGCCCGCAGGTCGCCTCCAGCTGCTCTCTCCTCCTGGCACAGACGGCGCCTGCTGAGGGCGCCGCGCCGTGCGCCAGCCCCTCCTCCAGAGACCACCCCAGGGGAAGGACCCAGCGGAGAGCAGGACAGTGACTTGCTTGAGGCCCCCCAGTAGAGCCAGGGCCCCACGGATGGCAGCAGTCCAGAGCCACCTGGGCGGCCTGGGACATGGCCCTGGAGGTCGAGCAGGGCCACCTAAACTTCCTCCATCTTGACTGCAGCCCCCAGGGACCATGACCTGCTTGCAGGCAGCACAGCTGCCCCGAGACCCTGACCCCATCCCACCCTGCCCCCCAAGCCTGGAGGGACTCCTGACGGACACAGCCTGTGGCGGGCTCTGTGGGCGGGGCAGCCAGAGCCCCGCTGGGGCAGGAACGGACTCCATGCAGCTGAGGAGCCCTGGCGCCCCTCCCCTGTGGGCCGCTGCATCCTCGCCCAGTTCAGGACCGGTTCTGCCCTAGGCCCCCAGGGCCTTGCTGGGAAACCTGGGGGGAAGGCGGGAGGCTTCCTAGAGAAAGAGGGCCGTCTAGGGTGGGTGCAGAACAACAGGGGCCTCCGGCTGGAGCAGGGGAGGGTGCTCCAGGCTGAGGGGTGAGGGAGGTCAGGGGCGCAGCGGTGTCTGAGTGCTCGGGGCTCTCCCCACCGGGGCGGTGGTGCCAAAGCCGAGGCTGGGGGCTCACCCCGTGGAGCCTGTGGGTGGAAAGCCGGGCTTCAGACAGAGCCCATGGGCAGAGAGCGGATTTCCTGGCCCCAGGAAAGACGGACCCCAACAGTGGGGCAGCGAGGGTCTCCGGGCCCCTGGAGGACAGCCCAGCTAAAGGCCCGGCTCCGTCCCGCCTGTGGGGGCATCCGGGGCAGCACGCTCCGCTCTCCCCGCCCCAGCACTGCCCGCCTCCAGGGGGCCTCCCGCTGTGGCTCGCTCGCTCGCTCGCTCACTCACGCGAGGGTCTCCCTGGCAGGGACACCAAGTCAGGGGCAGCTTCTGCTCAGTGATGGCAGCTGAAAGGCGAGGGGCTGCTTTTCATTCTCCCTCGAACTGAACAGCAGTTCTGGGGCTCCTGTCAGAGCCCTGGAGGGCAGGGCGTGCCCCAGCCGCAAGGGGCCGGGTGCAGCGAGTGTGGCGCTCCCCTGAGGGGCACGGCAGGAAGAGCTCCCAGGGGTGGAGGAGAGGGCCCTGCCTCAAACCCATCCCCAGGAGGAGCGGAGCGCAGAGGACGCACTGGGAGGCCCACCTACCTGGCGCCAGGAAAGGGTTGAGAGACGGGGCCGGCGGGGCTGGCCTGGCCACCAGCGAGTCCAGGTTCACCAGGGCTGCGTTGGGACCCAGGAAGGACTCCGGCGTCTTCCGGGCGCTGCTGGGCTTGCTCGAGGTGGTGGTCAGTGGCTGAGACTCAAAGGGGTCAGGGCTGGTGGCTCCGTCCTTTGGGGATGGCAGAGAGGCCACCACCTCAGCTACGAGACAAGGACACACCAGGTGTGGTGGGTGGGGAGGGTGGGACCGGGACAGCACCCGATGCTGCCCACCGACCCCAGGAGCGTCCCAAGCACAACACAGATGGCCCCGGGCCCACAGTTCCCCGAGTGGCTGTGTGCGGCCGGCGGACGTTCCCTGCAGTGTTGTTTGCAACAGCCTCAAGCCGGAGACAGTCAGCCACAGGGCAGGTCGCAGCCAAGCCTCGGGTGCAGGGACGGAGGAGACCGGATGAGGAGCAGGGAGACGGCATCAGCGTCTCAAATGACAAAGCAGGGGCTGCACAGGAAGGATGGCACGGTCCTCCCACTGCAGGAAGGCGGTGCTTTGGGTTGGTCGCTACGCTCGGGTACCTTACATTTTTTTAATGTTTCCATTTTCTAAATTATCTACAGTGAACATGAATTTCTTGATAATTAGAAGAAAGCAAATTATTTTTAAAAATTCAGCCAACAGAGGATGCGCTGAGACCGGTAGGTGGGAAGGCGCTGCTCGGCCAAGACACAGGGCGGCCCTGTGGCCGGCGGTCCCTAACAACGGTCACCCTCTCTGCTCAGCGATCCCACTCTAGGAATCCAGCCTCAGGAAATAATGCAACACGGGAACGCAGACTTCAACACAAAGATGTTCACCACAGCATTATTTACTTCAGCAAAATTTGAAATTAACCTAAAATGTCCTCCCCCAAATTAAAGATTAAATAAATTATTGCTGAGCGATACGGAGATGCTATGTAAATATAAAATATTTTCTAAAGGATTTTTAATGTTATGAGAAAATGTTATCGATTTGTTATTCCATAAAAGGGCAGAGGGTGGGCACGGGATTGAAGTCTGACAGTAGGAGCCCAACTGTACATAAGAGCTCAAAAAAAAGCTGGAAGGAAACAGTGGCTGAGAGTAGGAGGAAGAATCACAGGTTTTCATTTTCTCCCATAAACTTTTCCAGATTTTTGGCAAGGGGAATACCCCTAGAATGGGGGCGGGGGGGGGCCGCAGGATACTTGGCGAGTCCCCAGAAGGCTGTCCACGTGACAAGCCATCACCTCGCCAGGCACCCAGGGCGGGCAAGGAAGGACAGTTCAGTTGCACCGTGGCCTGCAGAGGCCCAGGGAGCCCTGTGGCTCTTTGAACGCAGCCAAGGAAAGACCCTGAAAAGCAGCACATTCTGAGTGGCCTCTGACCCCCTGAGCTGAGAGGGGCCAGGCTGCTCGTACCTTAGACCGGGGCTAGCCAGGCCTGGGGCTGCGGCGGGAGGAGGAGGTGGTGGAAGGTGGGGAGAAGCGGAGGAAAGAGAGAAGAGAAGTTGCTCTGTATGACTAGGAGGTGCAGCCTGGGGCGGACAGAGGCTGCCTGACGCGCCCCCCGCCCCTCGCCCCTCGCCCAGGCCCCTCCCGGCCCAGGGGCACACGGGGAGGAGCTGGGCCGGGAGACCTAACCGCGGGCCTCCTACCCGTGGGCCAGTGGCCGAGTGGGGCCGCACCGCGGTGAGGGCGCGGGGCAGATGCCCTGCCAGTGCCCGCCTCAGGGGCTGTCTGGAAAAGCTGGCACCTCCCGGGGGCGGCAGCCATGGCTCAGACCTGGGGGTGGGGCCCGCGCTGGGCCGGGGAACAGGGAGGCCGCCCGTCTCTGGGGTTGGGGGGCGAGGCCAAGACACACAGGTGAGCCAGAGGGGACCCACAGGGCCGAGCCCGGGCCCAGCCCGGGGAGACGGTGAAAGGAAACTCAGCCGCATGGCTCTTCGCTGCTGCTGTGTGATTCACACCATGCGACATGGCTCCCAAGGCCAAAACGCAAAGAAAGTGCGTGAGGTTGACAGGTTTGGAAAGTTGATTATTATTTCTGCAATAACTGGGCTGGTCAAATGCATAGAACTTTATGAAAACCACCTTTACATACCTGTTTTTTTTGAAGTTCGGAGTTTATCAAATTCAGAAAAGTCATCTTTAATTGTTCCATTCAAATTACTGAAGAGATCGAAGGCCCCTGAGCAAACACAAGAGGCAGTGACTGTGGGCGCCTCACGGCTTCTCCATCTCCCCCACCCCCCCACCCCTGGCCTACCCCCGAGGGTGGGCGGGCCACAGACAGCGGGGCGGATCGCTCCCCCGCCTGCTGGGGGAGCGCCTGAGGGCAGGCGCGGATCGGGCGCAGGGTTCGCTGGTGGGTGGGAACTGGGCCGGGGTGGCAGGGGCACCAGGCCAGGGGCCTTGGCCTCCCAGTGCACAGGCTGGAGAGCTGGCCTGCCCACACCCCCACCAGGCCCCCCTGAAACTGGAGAGGGGGTAACGGTGGAGGAGACACCTCTGAATGGGGTCTGGACGCTGGGAGAGGCCTGGAGGAAGTGACCAGAGGCATGTCCGGAGGGCAGCCTGACCCGGAGGGAAGTGTGGGTGCCCAGAGGCCTGTGAGCCCACCCCACACACTGGCTGTGCAGCATGGGGTTGGGGGTTGAGTGGGGACAGCGCTGTGGGAGAGCGTGGCAAGTGCAGGCAAACTGCGAGGCCCTATGCCAAGGAGCCGCAGGGCCTACGGGGCGCTCGGGCTGGGCAGCCCGGGGCCTCACCAGGGGCGGAGGCGGGCTCGGCGGCAGAGGCAGGCGCCCAGGCATCGGCGGCTCTCTCGGCGTCGGGGCCAGGCTGCTGTGGGGCCGCCCAGGGACCTGAGCTCTTGGAGGCACAGTGCGGGCCGGCTGCGGCGGGAGCTCCCCACGGGTCTGTGGAGGAAGCTGGCTTGGCACCTGCAGGACGGTGGGGTGGGGCTCAGAGACGCCCTCGGGAAGCTCTGTGCATCAGGGGCAAGGAGAGCAAGGACGCTGTGGGCCCCGCGAGCCACGCTAGGATCTGCGCCCATGTCAGAACGGGCACCTGCCCAAGGGCCCCCCATACCAGTTGAAGACGCAGCGGACAGTGGGCGCTGGGGCCTGCCGCCTGGGAAGGGTGCTGGGAGGCCTAGCGGCCAGTCCCAGGGAAGACACAGAGAACGCTCCTGAGAAGCCCCCCTCACTCCTGGCCCCAGCCAGTCCTGGAAGGGGCTCCCTGGACCGAACCAAAGCCCCTCCCAGAGTCCACGGGCTCTGCCCGGGACAGGAGCCCGGGCCCCGCACCCACCGCCGGCCTGGGCATGGCGGAGCCCTCTTCCCACCTGCTCGGAGCGGTTTCTGCTTTGGAAAGGAGGCCGACGGAGCAGGTGAGTGCAGCCCAGAGAGGAGGAAAGACACAGAGAGCTGTGCATGAGCCTCCCAGCTTGAGCACCTGAACATTTTCAAACTGTGAGTGACAAATCCATCTGGTGGTTGCCCCACCACGGTGTTTTTTAAGGATAGATAACACCTAGCAAACTCATGTAAGCCGTCTATCCTGCTGAGTCTTCCATGTTGGGCACATGCAGACACGTGTGTGTGGACATGTGCAGGCACGCAAAGCCTGTAGTGCATCTTCTCCCCTCCAGGGCAGCGTCAAAGGAAACATCTAGAAACCACCACTGCTCTGCAGAGACAGGGAGGCGTCCCCCCGAGGGCAGCCGCATGCCCGCCCAGGAGCTGCCAGGCTTCTCCTGCTCTCCCTCCTGGCTCAACTGCACCTGGCGTGCGGCGCCTGCCTCGGGAGCTCTCTCTGAGGGACACGTGCCGTGCACACTCCCTCGTGGCAGTCTGCTCACTCCGAGTTTCACCTGGGAGTTATGTCTGGGTCAAGGGGCAGCAGAGATGTGTTCATCTGCATGTTGTGTGCTCCATTCTAGGAGAGAGGAGGCCACAGTGGGCAGTCTGCTGGCGGCACCGGTCCAGTTCAGCTTCTGCTCCACCCCAAGCACACACGGGCTCTGACCCCCCACGTGGGGCTAGAAGAGTCTCACGAAGTTGCCACCTCACACCCTGGCGCGGAGGCCCGCCTGGCTGGTGTGCAGGAGCCCAGGGCCCCCGGCGGGCGGGCACTCCCTCCCCGCCTCGCATCCTCGCGGCTGCCCTCGCCTGCTTGCAGGTCCTTCAGGCCTCCCCCCTCGCTCCCAGGGACTGTCCCATGTTACCGCCCGCCTTTGACAGACCTTTCTCTTAAGGATTTGACTGAGGTCTGTCCCTGTTTGAAGTCCTGATTCTTCTCCTTGTGTTGCGAGTACCTTCACCTTCACTCTTAAGGTATGTTTCGACGGACAGCTAAGGGAGTAGAGCCTATCATTTTTTCTGGGTTTGTGATTTGTGCTGCTCCTGACATCCAGAACACCATTCCCTACGCTGAGGCCTCGAAGCTCTTCCTCAGCAACGCCTGAGAGCGCCACAGCCACCCTTTCCTGTTCTCACGTGTGATCCGCTAGTGACGGACTTCTGTGCGTGGCAGAAAGGAAGGGTCCTCTCGTGCTTTCCCGCGCGAGTGACGCACGCACACACACAGTGCCTCCTTCACCAGGAGCCAAGGCCCCACGGGCCCACTCCTGTCTCGCTGGTCTCTCCTGCGACCCACTCTCCCCGTCCCTGTGCCCGCTGGGCCGCCCTCGCAGGCAGCGACACGGTGCTGAGTGATGAGCAGGAGGCAGCGGGTCCTGGCCCTGGCCTTGTTCTTCAGAATATTGGCTGTTCTGGCCCTTTGCTTTTTCAGACATTTTAAAATCATCTAGTCAAGTTAAAAAAAACTAAAACCTTGTTGGGGTTTTGATCAGAAATGCATTGAATCTCAGATCAATTTAAGAAAAATTGTCATCATTATGATAGAAAATATTCCAAATCAAACCCACAGACTATCTTCCAATATACTTAAGCCTTCACGGTCTCACTAAAATTTAATCTTTTAAAATTTTATCCTTTATTTCCATAAAGGATTTATACAACCTTTGTAAGATTTATTCCTAAGGACTGGAGTATGTGTGTGTGTAAGAGATTTTTATTTATTTATTTTTAGAGAGGGGAAAGGAGGGGGAAAGAAACATTAATGTATGGTTGCCTCGCACATGCCCCCTACTGGGGACCTGGCCCACAACCCAGGCATGTGCCCTGACTGGGAACTAAACCAGTGACCCTTCGGTTTGCAGGCTGGCGCTCAATCCACTGAGCCACAGCAACCAGGACAGGACTGGTATATTTTTAAAATTTCATTTTCTATTTATTTATTGTTATACAGAAAAGTTTAATTTTATATACCGACTTTTGTATCCAGAAATCTTGCTACTCTTAATCCTAACATTGATTTTCATCCAAATTATTTATTCTTATGATTCTAAAAACTCTTTAATTCTAACAAACTCATCTGTAGAAATTTTTAAATATTCAGTGTACATGATCATATGACTTGCAAACGATGACAATGTAGTCTTTCCGGTCCTTACACTTCTCCTTTTGTTCTCCTGTCTCATTGTATGGCCAGGACCATCAGTCCCAATGTGGAGCTGGACGCAGTGTGTCCTTACTCTTACAGGGTCAACTTTCAACATTTGACTATGAAATGGTACCATTTACAACAACAGGTTTTTTCCCTTTTAGGAGACCTTTATCAGATTATGGAAGTTCACCATTATTCCAAGTTTGCTAAGGAATGTTACCAACCTGATCCTGACCCTATTAAGATGATCACATTATTTTTCTCTTTGGGTCTGTTAAAGTGGTGCATTAATACATTTTTCTAAGAACCTGGTCCTTGAAAACCAAGTTTTTCATGTGTACCCTATCACATTTATATTTTTCTCATTTTGGTTTTGCTGCTGCTTCTTTGCTTAAGGTTTTCGCATCTATATTCCTAAGTGGGACTGGCCTCACATGTCGATTCTCACACGTCTTCTGTCTGGTTCTGGTGTGAAGGTCTGTCAGCCTCATTGACGGAGCAGGAAGGCTCCCTACTTCCCTGTCCTCTGAGGGAGTCTGTATACAAGTGGCATTGTTTCTTGAATGGCCTTAGAACTTGCTAGTAAAGCCCTTTGGGTAAGGGGTGAGGGGAATTTTTAAGAAACTGATTTAATTTCTTTATTGATGATAGGACTATCCCTACTTACGGGTTTTCTGTTGTCCTTCAGTCAGCTTTGCTAAGTGGTCTTTTTAAATTTAACCAATTTGTCTAGATTTTAGATTTGAAAGCACAGAGTTCATCAAAGGACCTCTATTCTATTTTGAATCTTGGCTGTATCTACAGTTAACATTCTTTGTTTCATTCCTAACACTGTGCCTTTCCTGTTTTTTTAAAATTAATCTTGTTAAATATTTGCCTATTTTATTACTCTTTTCAATTACAAACTTGTCTTTGTGGATATTATTAGTTTGTGTTCTAATTCATTTCTGTTCTTATCCTTATTTCATTCCTTCTGCTATTCGGGCTATTCTAACCCTAATGTTACCTCATTAATCTCGTGCCTTTCTTCTTGACTAATGCAAATACTTTAAGCGAGAAATTTCTCTTACTATTGCTTCAGTTGTCCCACAAATTCTGATATATAAATTTTTACATTGTTATTTGGTTCCAAATATTTCTGATTTTCATAATATCTTCTTCGACTCAAGAATTTAGAAGTGTTTTTACAAAATGTCAAGTGTGCGAGTTTTTGTAGTTTTCTTTTTGTTACTGACTTGACTTGAGTGTACTGTTGTTAGAACATACATTCTTTGCGACCTCGTCTCCAGACCATTGTGGAGGCTAGTGTTTTTGCCTAGCACACGATCAGTTTCTCGTTGGTATTCTGCATGTAACTGAAAAGAATGTGTATTTTCCAACTGTTGGGAACAGCAAGTTCACAGGCTCACAAACATGCTGACCCCGTTTTCTTATATTCTTATTACTTTAAATATATGCTTTCTGATGTTTCTCCTCCTTCCTGAGGCTCTGCGTCTCCAGCTGGCTGTTTGTCCCGTCAGCCCTTTGGCGACAGAATCTCCTTGTGTTCTGTTACCTGGAACTGTTGCTATTTGCCTGCACTGTGAAGAATACTTCCACTGAATACTAGGTTCGAGAGGGTGACAGTTATTGGGAGAAAGATGATCCCTCTGGAACTGAATCCTCCGCTGGCAGAGCTCCCCTTCCGCGTCCTCGTGGCCCCACCCCACTGTCCCCTGGCATCTGACGCGACCTCCGAGCAGGCAGCTGCCAGTCCGACGGCCAACCTTCGCCGCGCAGCATCTGTTCCCTGTGGGCTTACTGAAGGTGGTCTCCTTCTTTAGTTTTCTGATGCTGTGTGTAGGTGGGGATTTCTTTTCTCATCCTGCTTATGACTTATGAAGCTTCCTGGACCTGAGAAGCAGCACCTTGACACAACTCTTGAAAAGCCTCCGTCGTTATTATCTTTTCAAATATTAACTTTTCTGGAACTCCAAGCAGATGTGCGTTAGATGCCGTCCGCCTGCCTTCGCACCTCCCCGCCACGCCGGCCCCCGCGACCCCCACACACATGACGGGCACTCCCGCCGTCTTCTCCCCTCCTCCCTTCTCGCCTCCCCAGACTCCTCCACTCGGCTTTCTGCTGGAGCGCTTGCCCGGCAGCGCCAAAACAACTTTTTGCCCAGAGTTTACCTTGGACTGTGGACCCCTTCGGGGCAAAACCTATCTCCCCCCTCCGCCAGGCAGCCTTGGGGAAGGCCAGGGGACGCCCGCGCCACTGGACTCATCTCCTGGGCCCCATTCCCATACAGGCGCCCTGTAACAGCCCTAGTGGCAGGGTGCGGGGACAGACGTGCAGGTCGGAGGCTCCCTGGCTCTCGGAAAGACCAACTCTCTGCTGAACGGCTCTACCACACCGACTTCATCAGCTCTGTCTCTGACATGCTGACTG